CAACTAACACTTGAGGTAAGTTTTCAATGAGCCGCTCAATATGGGATCAAGGCTTAGGCTGGAAATGTCGTGTCTATTAATAGCACTTCTGGGGAAATCTAACAGACTCCCCCACATCCGCCAATTTTTCTGCATTCATTTATCATGGAACAGGAGTGAAAGAGGCAGAAAGATGGGGAGGTGGGAGGATGAAGGGAGGGAGAGGGAAATAGACACACCATTGCCTCCAGGAAGCAAAAACAGACCTGGACCCCCACCCCCCATGTGACCAGGGTGGTCAATCCACTCCAGCCCTCTCACGTCTTCCTGCCTCCACCCGTCTGTGCAAGGAAAAGACACCGCGTTTAATGAGAAGACTGAAAGTAATGCATACAGGATCAATTTATTAAGAGAAGCTTGATGAGGTTTTATAACAAGCTGCGTATACCTGGCTTCCAAGATGAAATGAATTAAGACAAGGGTGATAGGACCATTTCATTGAGATTAGAACAGATTGCTTCCCCCCCCATCTGTTTTTAACTTTTTTTGTTTTGGAATGGAAGGCAGGACAATTCACACAGAAATGGAGAAATGATTACACAGGAAATCTGTTTAAGGCAAGTAACCATAATGTCACACACACACACACACACACACACACACTCCCCCCCTCCCCAAGTGGCCTGAGAAAGATGAGGAACTGACAGGAGGAGCAGCAGGAGGCGCTGAGGAGTGCCAATTAACAGGGTGTGCAGCGAAACGAGTCAGCAAGAGCAGAGGGACGCGAGCTCCAGGTGGTCAGACCCAACTGTCTGTAATGCCTGCCGCACAGGCATGTTTTTCAGGGGCCACACTAGGGACGACCACTGACACTAGCTGACTGAGAAGCCAGGCCAGAGAGGAGGTCTTCAGGAAGGTTGATCCTCTGCCTTTTATACTTTCTGGGGGTGTTCGAAGCTAACCATCTGTATGTGGCTTGGGATTATCCAGGCTGTGTGGTTCTGTATTTAAAATATCACCAACAAATTTTACTTTAAAAAAAGTGAACTGGGGCCGGCCCGGTGGCGCACTGGAGAGTGCGCCGCTTGGGAGCGCAGCGGCACTCCCGCCGAGGGTTCGGATCCCATGTGGAGACCGGTTCCCGCTCACTGGCTGAGCACGGAGCGGGCACAACACCGAGGGTTGCAATCCCGTTGCCAGTCCCCGGTGCGGGCGTGACACTGAGGGTTGTGATCCCGTTACCGGTCAGTAAAAAAAGACAAAAAGGAAAAAAAAAAAAAAAAGTGAACTGGCTGTTCGTGTGAGGAAGGTTACAAAGGAAAGGTCCTCTTGACAGAAGACCTCTGGATGGCAAGGACTGACCCATGGCTCCTAACAGCAGGGCCTCTCAGACGGGCAGGTGGTCCCCAGGCCACCAACTGAGATAGCAGCTGATCGAAGAGCTGACGGTCCCCCATGAGCCAGCACTGTGTTGGGACTGCCTCCACCCATTCTTCCACAACCCAGGGGCCGTGGTGCTTTAAGAGTCAGGCACAGGGCAGAGAAGCAGTTCCAGTCACCCCAGAGTGCCTTTCCTGGCAGCTGCCGTGGCTCCTGTTATAATAGCGGCTGCGGTGGTGAACTGAGGCCACGGACGGACTGCAGCATTCGTTTTTCCCTTCCAGCTTTTCCTGACGCATTATCAAGTGGGGAGGCCTGTTCTGCCCATCACCATCTCACTTCTGAAGGACACATCATCTCCCACTGCCAACCATGTCCCTTATGGAGCTTCCTGCTGCAAAGTTAACAAATGGGTGCCAAGTGCCACCACAAAGGGCTTCAGCCTCCACAGTACGGCCCACCTGATGGGTGACTCCAGAGCTGTTCTGACCACCTGACCTTTTCTCTCTAGTTTTCTATCTTTTATTGGACTTCCTCTACTTTATCTTCTACCTCTTCTACTGAAGTTCCTGTTTTTTCTAGTTTTTATTTTCCAGGACTTGCCCCCTTTTGCCCCCCCCACCCCTACTGGCCAGTACAGGGATCACACCCCAGGCATTGGTGTCACCAGCACCACACTCTAACCAAGTTAACAAGTAACAAGCCAGTTTCCAAGACCCTTCTTGTTCTCTGAATATTCCTTTCCTTAAATTTGTTCCTGTTCTTTTGTCCACACAGCACGCCCTCTGCTCTCTCTCTGCAATCCTCAGAGCATCCCTCTCAGGAAGAGGCTGAACCCACCTGTGTGGGGTGCTCCCTGGGTCCTAGATTCCCTCTGCTACCTTCACTCAAGGAGCTTCCATGGGGTCCAGCTGCCAAAGTCAGGTAACAGCTGTTAAACCCGCAGAGGCCCAGCTGGTAGGACGGTGGGCACCGCATGCAATCCCACAGCCCACAAACAACCACAGGGAAGGGGCCCAAGCCACAGCATACACTCTGAATCCTGCTGTTAAAGCAATCAGTGGAATCACTTTTGTTCCGGTGAAAACTGATTTCTTTTCTTTTTTCCTTTTTGTCTTTTTTCGTGTCTGGCAACGGATTGCAACCCTCAGTGTCGCGCCCGTACCGGACCGGGACCGGCAACGGGATCGCAACCCTTGGTGTTGCTCCCACACCTCGCTCAGCCAGTGAGCGGGAACCGGTCTGTATGTGGGATCCGAACCGAAAACTGATTTCTGACACTACCAAATGTAGTTTTCAACTTACAAGGTACCCATCTAAGATTGGGCTAAGACTAGCTTCCTACAAAATCTGACTTTGTTCTATTTTTAGACTGGGTCAATCAGACACTTAGTGTGAATAATGAGTTGGTTTGGGAAGAAATGAGTTTTTGATCTACAAATTTTCATGTCTACTATGCGCAGAGGTCAAATGACAGAGCAAAGCTTCTACACAGCCAATTAAGAAATGAGGAGAAAGCTCTCTAGTTAGGGGGAAAAACAGGAAAAGAATAAACTACTAGACAGGTGGTCAAATTAATTTCCCTGGAGATCTGTGACAAATACAAAGAACTATCTCTCTATTGTGAATTTGGTAAAGTTCTGTCAAGAGGATAGCATACAAAATTTAAATGTTAAAAACTAAAATAACTTTTATAAAGCAAGCATAACTACATTAAAGAAAACATGGGCAGGGGGGAGAAAAGCACTGTCCAGACCCTATCGCACTGCAAGAAGTGAGTGTTACTTCGGGGCAGCTCGCTGTGTGTCCAGGACATAGCAGACCAGCAGGGAGGGACACAGTGCAAGGCACCCCACCTCTCTGGACCTCGCAGCAAGACTGAAAAGCTGTTACTTCACGGCGGGTGCCACTGCTCCCCTTGAGGAGGGCGCTACTGAGGAAAGTCCCTGGGCAGGCTGCTGAGGCTTGGCCCTGAGGGCAGGACCTGCAACAGGTCACAACCCAAAGCCAAGAGAATCATAATGATCTGACCCTCTCCACAGCAATGCAGAAGGTGGAAGGCAGAGGAACAATATCTCCAAAGCCCCACGGGGAGAGTGATTTACAATCTACAATTCCATATCAGAGAAACTACCAGTCGCATGTGTGGCTGGAATAGACACTGGTCTCAAAAAAGTTATCACACATGCCCTCTTCTCCAGAAACCACTGGAGGATATGTGCTACCAAATCAAAAGGAAAAAGGAAAACAAATGACTCAGAAAATAAAGGATCCAGTCCTAGAGGGATGAGAGGGACTCTTTCCACTTGAAACTTGATCTCACAATGCGTTCAGTATAGTAAGATTAAAGAACAACCACAGCATAATGGAATCACTGAGAAAAAATCAGACCTATATTGACCATCATGTCTCGATGTACAGGGCTTTATAATACGGCCATAATATTTCAGGATAATTAATGACAGCTATATAGAAAAGTAAGCCAATGAAAAAATAGAGCAATTATTAACTACACAAAAATATAAATAAGAAATAAAACTATTATATACCACAAGGCTCAGCTGTAATATTTACACAGTCATTATATTATAAACACCATATACTGATTTAACCAAAAGTTATTATTTTACTAACTGGCACAGTGTGAGAGAGGAAAGAGTGTACACGTAGGAGAGAGGAGTAAGAGAGAACAAGAGAGAGAGGCAATTACGTAAAAGAGTTAAATCTTCATTTCAATAGATGTTACCTAAAGCCAAAAAGATAAAGAAAGAAAAAAATCAGTAATATAAGCCTGCTATCTAGAAATATGAAGGTAAATACTGGAAGAACAGCTAAAAGGTTATCGTAGTTAACTGACCAAGTAAGTGTGGGGTGGGGCAGGGCTAGAGACTTGATTTTTGTTATATGGCCTGTAAGACTAATTGACATGAAATTACTTTCATAAAAATAAAAGTATAACTTGTTTCAAAACAAATCAAAACCAAAACAAACCACAGGATGGAGCCTCCGTTTCAAAATGAGACAGATGTGCAGGTATGGACCGCAAGGCTGCATCACTAAGGGAGCTGACCTCCCAGCACAGAGGATGACAGGGCAGAGTGGGGTCAGGGACAGCAACGGAGAGGAACTGCTTCCCGTCTCTACCCCCACAGAGACTCCTCAACAGGGCCATGCATCACTCAACTTAAGTCCTTCACGGTGCTGTGACGGAAGCCTCTCTTCCCCAACCTATTCTTCCCTTTGTAAGTGTTTTGTGGGGTGACCCCCTCGCAGGTCAGTGTGGAGACGAGTGGCATCAGGATTCCACATGAGCCCCAGGGAGGGCAGGTATCTCAGGGAGGGATAGCTGCAGGGAGAGTCTGAGTCAATGTCACGTAAACATCAAATGGCAAGTGGCTTCTGCTGAGAAGAGTCAGACTGTCACAGCAATAACAATAAAACTGGAATCTATAGGGTGCCAGGTGCGGGGTTGAAAGAGTGATATAGGCAGATCACTCCAGCAGCAGCAGCTCAGTGAGGCCTGGCTCCCTGCCAACTTCTAGGACAGCCTGGAACCTGGGGTCTATGCCTCAGGGACTCTGAAGGGAGTATTTTAACATGCTAATGTGTGATTTCCATAAAGCAGAGCAGAAGGTGTTTACCTATGCACGTAGTGAAGCTGATGGATGGAGTCAATGGCCAGCACCATCTCACCAACGTAGAATCTTGCCATATCTTCTGGAAGCTTGTCTTCAAACTTACTGAGCAGAGTCAGTAAATCACCACCCACGTAGTAATCCATGACTAAATACTATGAATTGGGAGAGAAGGGGAGAGAAGACAAGGGTCAGTCACCACTAAACCTGACAGGTGAGGGCGAACTTCCACTGCAGAAGTCCTTTAACTCTCCAAGTCTGGATCGATGGCTTCTCAGATGCTCCTGTGTCACCCAGGCTCTCCCCTCTCAGAACACGTACCCCAGCGTGCTGTGACACTGCTGTATTTTCAAGTTATGTATATGGCAGAGAACAGACTCCAACAAATGCTATACTTAGTCAATGGAAGAAATGACTGAAGGGTTCAATGTTGGAAAAAGCACTCTTTAAAAGCCAGTGACCCAAAGTAGGAGCACAACTGATGAACAGCCCATCATGTCCTATGGACTTAAAAGTAATACTCCCAACCATCATGTCACAGGAGGACAATGGGTCAGAGACGAGAGGTGAATTACCTAAAATCACATGATAGTAGCAACTCTTATCAGAAAGATGTTGTCATGGAAGAGCTGAAAGAGAGTTAGTTATATGTGTGTTTGCTCTAGAAACCAGAAGAGCTACTGCTCAAATAGAAATTAGAGCAACACCAGGAAAGGTATCTTCTGCTAATGGGACTGAGCTGTTCCTTCGCTTGGCGTTCACCTGCCACAGGGCCGGCCACGTGCCCGGCGCTGGAGGACAGCTCTCCCGTGCAGCTCCCAGAGGCTCGGGCTACAAAGCCCAGCGGCTGTGGAGGCCTTGAGGGGGCATCTCACCAGGTCAGAGAAGCCCAGGATGGGCAAGACCATCACGACCAGAGTTGGGGTGGCAGCCAACGCCTCCACTGCTGGGGGCTACCAAGCCTCGGAGACTGCTGAGGAAGCCAGTGCCTCAGCCTCACAGGAGTCACCTCCCCTGATGCTAATTTCCTTTTAAGAGATGACTGCTCTGGTCTGAATGTATAACTTTTAACCAACCTCCCTTTTCCAGGGAGGAAAGACCTTGTTCACTCAGCCAGGACAATGATCCTTTGATGTTTACTGAGAGCTAGTCATAACAACAGCTGTCACTCACTGCACACCTACTATGTTCCACGCCTGCAGGCCGTGTGGCTCCTGCCATTATCCCATTAATTCTCACACTGGCCCTCACCTCTGGTACTACCCAGACCCCACTTCACAGGGGAAGCTTGATAACATGCCCAGAGTCACCCAGCTAATAAGTGACAGAGCTGGGACTGGAACCAAGCAATCGGACTCCAGGGCCCATCATCTTCAGCCCGACACTGTAGAGTCTCCAAAGAAAGGACCTGATCACCATGCCTGCCGTTGGGCTTGTCTGAGGAAGGGAATGGGCTGGATTTGCGGAAATGAGAGAAGCCTTCATTTTAGGTCCCTGTTCTCAAACAGAATCTTTACCAGCAGCCCTTTCATCTGCTTCTAAGACTTACCTCAATTGTCCCTCCTCCATGAAGCCTTCCCATCTCTCTCTTCCACCCCCCCACAAAGGGCCTCCTTCCCTGTCCCTGCTCAGTCACTGCCCCCATGTCTTCCAATCTATAGGGAGTATTATGGGCAGGAGTCCCGTTACCCATTTTTCTCTCTCTCCCACACCTCGCCCAACTCTGTCTCAGTGGGAGTTTACCCGAGTTAGTTTTTTCAGTCGTTGGCTCACTCTCTCTCAACAGTGAACCTGTTGACATCCCTCTGGGCGACAGGGACACTGGTGTGTACAAGATGGTCAAGGTCCCTGCTTGGGGAGTTCACATCTCATGGAGGGTGACAGACCACAACAAACACGGAGACCAGAGAGCGGTAAGTGCCAGGAAGATAGAAGCTCCATCTGGCTTGGTGGTGTCACTGGGAGGCTACTGAGCATGGATGGGTGGGCAGATATCTGGAAGGAGCCATGTTCTGAAGGCTGGTCAGGCATCATGCTTCAGACAAAGGGGTGTGTGCAAGGAGGCTAGGAGGAGAATGACTGGGGCGTGCTAAAGAGACAGACAACAATGACTGTGGCCAGAGCCTGGTGAGTGGGGAGGGATGAGGGCAGACCCCACAGGGAGGGCCCCAGCCATGGCCCCAGCAGGGACTGTGGCTCCACTCCAAGAGCAGTGGGATGATGCCACCCAATGATGTTTAGACATTTCCTCTGTTTGCCATGTGGACAGTGGACAGGAGATGGGAACGAGAGCAAGACCAGGGGTGGGGGCAGGAGGTGGCCATGAGGGGGCTGTGACGTGGCCCAGGCAGGAGGTGGGGGTGCTGTGCGTGGAGAGGGTAGCAGAATGAGGACAGTGGACAGGTACTGGAGATATTTTGGAGGAAGAGACCGCAGCAGCTGCTAATGGACGCATGTGGGGGTGAGTGAAGAGCCAAGCTCTCAGGTCCCCCAGAAAGCAGGAGAGAGGAGACAAAGTGACCTGAGCCCTAGCGCCTGCCATGTCTAGAGGGAAGCCTGACAGGAGAAGCAGAGGGCATGTGCACGACAGCAGTGCTACACATGGCTGACGGCCTCCTGGGAACAAGCTGTAAGGAGAGTAAGCTGCAAGGTTCACGAGGCACACAGGTAGAAGCTTATGTTTGGAACAAGAGCCAGAAACAATATTTCCTTTGTCATGTAATGTAGGATTCTGAGTTAAGTCAGTAAGGCAACGCCTTTGTACTTAGTGGTGAAACAGGTTTAATTTTTATGGAACCCAAGTTAGGAACCTACAGTAGAAATGATCACATGAACCAGCTCTGTGGGTGGTCCGAGGAATCCACGTCACTAGAGACGCCTGAGCCCAGCTGAGCCCTGTCCATGCCTGCCTCGTTCCATCCTCACGACACCTAGAAGGCAGGAACTTGCCTAAACGCAGCTGCTCGCAGGCAGCAGGTCTGCCCCAGGAACCAGGCACACAGGCAGGCAGGCTCAGATGCCTTGCCTCTGTCTCTCATCCTTTGTCGTCTTTGTACTTCAACTGGGAGACTCCAAAGACTCAAGAAAATGGCCCCTTCCCAGGGACTCTTAATTGATGTGTCTCCACTTAGAATAAATTTGGTAATGCCTAACGTTTCAGACCGCAGCACACTGTTCATTTTGGAACAATATTAGAAACAAAACAAAAAAACATGATCTTCCTCTGCACAGATCCATGTTGCCTAGTACTCTTTGGAAACTTCATCCAGATCCTATCAAAAGATGAAAGAACTGGAGATAGTCCATGGAGATGCTCAGAGCAGGGACACTGATCCAGGCAGTGAAGGGGTTTATGTGGAGACGGCCCCCGAGCACCAGGCTGTCTGCCAGACACAGGCCAGGGCTGGGACAATGGCAAGGCTACTGTCATGTGTGTGATAACCTTCAGCAAGGTACCTCACCTCTCTTGCCCAGATGTCCCATCTGTAAAATGGTGAAAACCATGACGGCCTAACTCACCGGGCTGCTGGGAAGACTGACAGATAACCCATGCACGGCTATGCCCTAAGTGATCAACGAACACCAGCTGCCCCCTCTGTGGAAACAGATGCATGTATTTTAAATTCCAAAAACACAGTATAACACACCACTTTACCTAATCCGTGATATTCAAATCTAAAGGATTTCACTGATGTTTGAAAGAAATTATTTTAAGATAAATAAAGGAAGTCCTAAATTATCCCGTTTCTTATGATTAAATGGAGCACGTGACCAAGGTGCTTCAGGATGGACACGTAGTCAGCTGTCGCGGAAGGAGAAGAGCCTGGGGCTCTGCTCCGAGGCTGTGCTGACGAGGAGAAGTACATTCCTCTTGGCCTCTGCTGCAGAAACAGTGCCGGCTGGAGGGAGCCAGGCCCAGACCTGCTTCACTGAGGTCTGCACAGGCCCCATCCATCCAGAGCTCCTCTGTGTTGGTGCTTTTAGGTTCAGGCAAACCCAGAAAGTCATTTTAAGAATAAAAATTCCTGGACAAAGCAGTGTTGCCAGTAACTCAGGGCCTGAGACCGCAGGTTTGCTCCCCTTTCACTTGTATGCTGGTTGTCTTGTGAGAGTTTCACGGGGTGTCCAAACAACTCTACGCATGTGTGTGGATTACATAGCTCACAGCAAGCCCTGGCCAAGTCAGGGCTTGAAGAGTAAACAGATGACAAGAACATGGAAACCAAGTCACCCCCAAACCTGTGTCAGAAGGCCTCCTCAGGCGGCTCCTACCCCACGGGAAGACTGCAGGCCACAGGTATATTCTCTGACAGGGCCGGAAGAGCAAGGGAGGCAGAAACATCCCACAGGGAGCACTGGAACAGCATAAATTTCATGGCAGTTTCTTATTCTCGTGCATAATTCCAGATAGGAAAGCTTTCAAGCCGTCAGTTTATTTAAATGCAATAAACCCAGTGAACAAAGTGATCAGGTTATGCAGTGATTAGAGAAAAACAAAGTACAGGCACACCTTGAAGGTACTGCAGGTTCAGCTCCAGACCCCCACAGTAAAGCCAATATCGCAATAAGGCAAGTCACACAGACTTTTTGGTTTCCCAGTGCATATAAAAGTTATGTTTACATTGTACTGTAGTCTATTAAGTGTTCAATAGCATTATGTCTAAAAAACAATACAAATACCTTAAATAAAAAAACACTTTATTGCTAAAAAATGCTAACAATCATTAAGTCTTCAGTGAGTTGTAATCTTGCTGGTGGAGGGTCTTGCCTTGATGTTGGTGGCTGCTAACTGATCAGGGTTTTGGTAGCTGGGGCTGGGGTGGCTGTGGCAATTTCTTAAAATAAGACAATGATGATGTTTACTGCATCCATTGACTCCTCTTATCATGAAAGATTTCTCTGTAGCCTGCGATGCTGTGTGATAGCATTCTAAACACAGTAGAACTTCTCTAAAAATTGGAGTCAATCCTCTCTTAGTTGCTTTACCAACTAAGTTTACATAATATTCTAAATCCTCTGTTGTCATTCCAACACACTCACAGCATTTTTGCCAGGAGTAGATCCCATCTCAAGAAACCACTTTCTTTGTTCATCTGTAAGAAGCAACTCCTCATCTGTTAGTTTTACTGTGAGATTTCAACAATGCAGTCATATCTCCAGGCTCCATTTCTAATTCTAGTTTCTTGCTATTTCTACCACGTCTGCAGTTACTTCTTCCACTGAAGTCTTGAACCCCTCAAAAGTCATCCATAAGAGTTGGAATCAACTTCTTCCAAACTTCTGTTAATCTGATGTTTTGGCCTCTTCCCATGAATCACAAATGCTCTGAACGGCATCTAGAATGCTGAATCCTTTTCAGAAGGTCTGCAATTTATTTTGCCAAGATCCATTAGAAGAATCACTATCTGTGGCAGCCATAGCCTTACGAAATGTATACTGTAAATACTAAGACCTGAAAGTCAAACTTACTCCTTGATCCATGGGCTGCAGAATGGATGTTGTGTTAATAGGCATGAAAACAACATTAATCTCCTCATACACCTCCGTCAGAGCTCTCAAGTGAGCTCGGTGAGCATTGTCAATGAGCAGTAATATTTTGAAAGAAATCTTTTTTTCTGAGCAGTAGGTCTCAAGAGTGGGTTTAAAATATTCAGTAGGGCCGGCCTATGGCTCACTCAGGAGAGTGTGGTGATGATAACACCAAGGCCACAGGTTCGGATCCCATATAGCAATGGCCGGTTAGCTCACTGGGTGAGCGTGGTGCTGACAACACCAAGTCAAGGGTTAAGATCCCCTTAACCAGTCATCTTTAAAAAAAAAATTTTTTTTTAAATAAAATATTCAGTAAACCATGCTGCAAACAGATGTGCCATTACCCAGGCTTTGTTGTTCCACTTACAGAGCATAGGCAGAGTAGATTTAGCACAATTCTTAAGGGCCCTAGGATTTTTAGAACATTAAATGAGCACTGGCTTCAACTTCAAGTCACCAGTTGCATTGACCCCTAACAAGAGAGTCAGCCTGTCCTTTGAAGCCAGGCATTGACCTCTCCTCTCTAGCTATGAAAGTCCTAGATGGCGTCTTCTTCCAATAAAAGGCTGGTTCATCTAAATGGAAAATCTGTTGTTGAGTGTAGTTGCCTTCATCAATAATCTTAGCTAGATCTGCTGAATAACTTGCTGCAGCTTCTACATCAGCACTTGCTGCCTCACCTGGTGCTTCTATGTTATAGAGACGGCTTGTTTCCCTAAACCACATGAACCAGCCTCTGCTGGCTTCTGATTTTTTTTCTGCAGCTTCCTCACAGCTCCTAGCCTTCAAAGAACTGAAGAGTTAGGGTCTTGCCTGGAATAGGCTTTGGGTTATGGGAATGTTGTGGCTGGTTTGATCTTTTATCCAGACCACTACAACTTTCTCCATACCAGCAATAAGGCTGTTTTGCTCTAACATTCGTGTGTTCACTGGAGCAGCACTTTTAATTTCCTTCAGGAACATTTCCTTTGCATTTGCAACTTGGCTAACTGTTTAGTGCAAGAGGCCTGGCTTCCAGCCTGTCTCGGCTCTCAACATGCCTTCCTCACTAAGTTTGATCATTTCTGCCTTTGGATTTAAAATGAGAGATGTGTGACTCTTCCTTTCACTTGAACACTTAGAGGCCACTGTTGGGTTATTAGTAGACCTAATTTTAATAGTGTTGTAGTTCAGGAAACAAGAAGGCCCAAGGAGAGAGAAAGAGATGGGGGAAAGGCTGGTCAGTGAAGCAGTAAGAACACACACAATATTTATTAAGTTCACCGTCTTACGTGAGTGCAGTTTGTGGTGTTCCAAGACAATTACAGCAGTAACATCAAAGATCACTGACCACAGATCACCATAACAGATGTAATAATAATAGAAAAGCTTGAAATACTGCAAGAATTACCAGAATGTGACATAGAGACACAAGTGAGCACATACTGTTGGAAAAATAGAGCCAATAGACTTGCTCAGCACAGTGTTGACACAGACTTTCTATTTGTTAAAAATGCAGTATCTGCAAAGCAATATAAAACCATGTGTGATAAAATCAGATATGCCTGTACATACTTTCACAAGTTTATTTAAAAAAAATTTTACCTGATGATTATTACACTAAAACAAATCCCTCAGTTTTATCTAGTCAAACATACATTTTAAAAAATGTCAGTTCCAAACTGTCTTATTTTTTAGTGGCAACACAAAGGAATCAAAAACCTTAAGCAAAACGCCACTGACAAAAACTCTTAAGTTTTTGTTGGCCCAAACGTACCAGATAGTTTTCATCTTGAAAAGCGTAGTGCAGCGTGGTGATCCACTGACAGTCACCGTTCACCAGCACGTCACGCTCTTCTCGGAAACAAGCAGTCTGTGAAGGATCAAGGGGAACAGTCAGCCTGTGTCTGTCTGGGAAAGTATCCTGTAGAGCATCTTCCTGAGTATCGGAGATCCCTGCCATGACAGTGGCTCCGCTCCAAAGGCAGGGTAACCTGCCTTTCAGGCTCATTGAGGCAAGGGGCTGAGCCATCTCTGTTCCTTTCTTCTCCCGAGCCCCACGCATATGCCAAGGGCTGTGGAGAGTGCACTTCCACGTGTGCCCTTCTATGGCTTACGCTTTGAGATTCACCCTGGCCTCACACGTGGACTTTGGCAACAGCTTCCTAGCCAAGCTCCTCCCTCCATCCTCATCTGACTTTTCTTTACCAGATTAACCTCCTCAAAGCATCCCGTGGTGTGTGTCCCCCAACCCAGGGCCACCCTCCCTGTCTACCCCCTACTGCTGAGTACCACATGGCTGGCAGGATAGGGCACATGCCTGTTTACTGATCTGAGCCAGTTATTTTCAAGAAACATGATATATTCACAGTAAGTGTACCAATGAACATGATCATAATGGGATTCTACTTTGGAGATCTACAGCCACTAGCATATGGGAGAAAGGCTACCTTTTAGCCTGCTATGGTTTAAAAAAGAAAAAAGCCTTAATATCCAGGTGGTGTCCCTGTAACCAGGCCTTTGGCATAATGATAATAAAACTTCCACTTTACAGAGCATGTAACATAGCAAGATTTAATTGTCCCTTATATTCGAAACATGCGCAGCTTAATACAAACGAGAGCAGGACTGTGGGGACTGGCCACGATAGGCACAAGAGCACAGCTCTCACCAAGTCTGCCAGCAGCCTTCATAACTTGCTCTTTCTACAGGTTTTTCTTTTCTGAACTTTTAGGAAGTTTCCCTTCAAAACAAAATGACCGAGGTAGATGTGTCCCAGTTCTACTAATTAAAACAGGCTGAGGGGTCAACAATCAGCTATGTCCAGATGTGTAGAGACAAGCAGTTCAGGAATCACAACCCCTTTTGCCAGTGGGCACCCCAAACACAGGGCCTAGCGAGGGGACAGCTGAAAGAAAAGCTGAATGCTGGTGGCCACGCCTCCTGCCTCCAGCACTTTCTCCCACAGAGAAGGGCTAACAGAGCCACGAGCCCCAGGCCAGGTGAGACCACAAGTCTGTCTACAGCATCTGCGGCTTTGTTGCTACAAGGAGATGTTCTCTGCGTGCTTGGCATCTACCTATCACTGCTTAGGATAAAACCCTCTCAGTCTGGGTGCTGCCTGCCCGTTGGCCCATCCACAGGAAACATACGTATTACTTAGCTGTTTTGTTGTTTAAAGACCAGAAAGAGAAACTTTTAGTATTTTTCAATGTCCCAAAAGGGTAATAAAAACCTAGCCTGGTCTAAAAGCTATGAACTTATACTGCTTAGCAACTTTTCTACTTCTTGTTTACTTCATGCTTTTAAAGAAGATTTTTTAGAAGTCAATATTTACAGCTAGCATTATATATCGATACATACATATGTATTTTTTATGTATCTCACACACACATATATATCCCATTGTATATATTCTAAGATAATCATCACCAAGAGCAGATACTCCTGGACTTCTCTGAAGATGCCAATTAAACTGGATCTGTGCAACCAGATTCAAATTAAATCAGCAATATTTACTCTATTAAAATTTCCTCATCAGGCCGGCCCGTGGCTCACTTGGTAGAGTGCGGTGCTGATAACACCAAGGCCACGGGTTTGGATCCTATACAGGGATAGCCAGTTTGCTCACTGGCTGAGCGTGGTGCTGACAACACCAAGCCAAGGGTGTTGATCCCCTTACCGGTCATCTTTAAAAAAATAATAAAATAAAATAAAATTTACTCATCCACCATGACATTGGGGTAAACACTAATATGATAAGATGAGAATCACCTCTCCTTACCTGTAAGACTTTTATAATTTAATTTTTTCTTTTACTCATCCACCATGACATTGGGGTAAACACTTATATGATAAGATGAGAATCACCTCTCCTTACCTGTAAGACTTTTATAATTTAATTTTTTCTTTTGTCTTTTTCGTGACCAGTAAGGGGATCGCAACCTTTGGTGTGGTGTCGCCCGCACCGCGCTCAGCCAGTGAGCGCACCAGCCATTCCTATATAGGATCCGAACCCGCGGTGGGAGCGTAGCTGTGCTCCCAGTGCCACACTCACACTCTCCTGAGTGCGCCACGGGGCCGGCCCTATAATTTAAAAATTTAAATACACACACACAAACACACACACACGTGGATATTTCAAACAGTTCACGCAGGGGCTGGTTGGTTAGCTCGGTTGGTTAGAGTGCAGCCTTATAATACCAAGGTCAAGGGTTTGAATCCCCTTACCGGACAGCTGCCAAAAAAAAAAAAAAGAAAAGAAAAGAAAAGTTCGTGGAAAGATTTGTATTATCTTTGAATTCTATTTTTCCATGACCTTTTTCAAGT